ACACCCAGTCGCTCTCCTGCCCGCCCCGGTATTCCACGCCCCCCGCCATCGCTGCTAACAGCATGCGCTTGGGGAGGCGGCTGTCCTCCATACGCATAACAAAGCCAGCGAAACACAGCAGTCTCCGTTTGCACACGGTGGCCTCGATGGTTTCCTCGCAGCCTGCCTGGATGAGGGCCTGGGCATAGGACAGGGGGCGGTCTGAGCGTTTCCGCTTGCTCCAGCCGATGCACCGTGTGAGGAACTGGCGGTGGGTCCCATTGAGCTTCGTGTAGTGCTCCGCTGTTAGGCTCCACGAGGCGCACCCATACAGGAGAGTCTCCACCACTTCAGCCTGGAGAAGCCGGATCTTGAGCTGGCGGTCGGCCCGTCGCCTGTCGTACATCGAAGCACTGTTCCGGCGGTAGCACTTCCACGCTCGGCAGCTGCGGCTCGTGATCTCCCGGTCGGCCTTCCCGTCCGCGGAGATGGTACGTCCGAGGTACACAAACCGATCTGTCTGCTTGTACGTCTGGCCGGCGGCGCTGACCGTGAACGGGCGTTCCTCGATCCCTTTCGGCAGCATGCACATGATCTCCGTCTTTGGCTCCGATACCATCAGTCCGAACAGGCCGGCCACGCGCACGATGACCGACATCATCTTCTCGAGACTCTCCGGCGAGCGCGAGACGATGGCCGCGTCGTCAGCGTAGAGCATGGCCCACAATGCCTCCGCGTCCGTCACCACCGTTGTCTTTTTCCCCGCCGACCTGCCCTTCTTGCCCGTGTTCTCCACTTGTGTCCCGATCTTGACCATGTCCGCCGTCACCTTGCGGTCCTTGTCGAACTCGGCCACGGCGACCATGAGCACCGCGGCAAAGAACAAGTTGAACAGCAGCCGGGCCAGGTTGCATCCCTGTCGGAGGCCTTGGCCCACGTCGAACCATTCCGAGTGCTGCCCGTCGTCCGTTCGGACGCGCGCCCTCATGCCCTCGGGGAGGTGGCGAATGACCGCCAGCATCTTCGGGGGCACGCCGAAGCGTCGGAGCACGTCCCACAGTAGGTCTCGGTCCACCGAATCGTATGCCTTGGTGAGGTTGACGAAGGACGCGAACACCGCAGTACTCTTCTTCCTCGCGAGCTCATTCATGGAGCCGCTGGATGGCGAACATCATGTCGAGCGTCGACCGGTGAGGGCGGAAACCGCTCTGCTCCTCCGGGCGGATGCCCTCTCGCTCGCAGTAGTGGCTCAGTCGTGTAGCGACGACCTTTGTGTGTTCTTTAGATCTTCTGATGGCTCTAGCATTTTTGTGACCACGGACCGAGTCTTGCTAGATTTTGGGATTAGCAACTGACACGAGTTTAATGTGAAGAAAAACGACAACAACCGCTTCCATAAGGTACCGGCCCTTTTCAACAGAGGGTCGGACTCGCTTGACGCGCGAGTAGTTCGGTGTGGTACTGGTCAGTAAAAGCACAGAGAGAGAGAGAGGCACAGAGAAAGAGAGAAACGGGCACGACCTGCCCCGTGCATCATGCTTCCGAGGCACAGGTCACACAGGACAGACAGCGGTTTATTGGTTTCGCCGCGATCAAGATTGGTGTCGGCTTGATTTGCAGGTTGCAAGTGTACCCTGAAATGGTGATAATCTATCCGGGTATACCCGTTTCTGATTGCTCCTCTACCTACAATGTTCTACGGAGCCCCCTCCCAGGTGTACATGCTGCCTCCCCGGCCGGGCCCCACTACTGTGCATCCTACGTACGTACCAGGAAGCCGACTGTGCATCGATCATATGGATTTAGTGTACATTGGGGCAAATTTCCACCTTTCCTTCTTTCAGAGGGGGCACACTGTCTGGAATGTGAGATTTTTTTGCCCCAAGAACAAGAGCGGCGCGATTACATCGCACTTTTCACAACACCACACCGCATCTCATAGAAGCGAGAGGCAAAGCGCCAAACGGCGGCGGCAGTGGGGCGGCCAATCGTCAGCCCCGGCTCGATCATCATGTCTTCAGCAGGAACTGGATCACGAGGTCGCGGAAACTACGGAAGGGCCGACAGAGGCAGGTCGGATAGATACGAAGCGCCCACACAGCAGCCGTTCCGGGCCCTATGTATGGAAGGCATCAGAACGCGGGACACATGAGGATCTCATCGCAGTTAGTCTCGACCTGAATCCTTATGGATTTGATCACTTCTGCGCTCATTGCGATCAATCGGAGGAGAGGCTCGAGCGGCGAGTAAGTTACGATAGCCACGGCACAGTGGGCAACAGAGGCGTGGGTGGGAAAGAGCCGAGTTCAAGCCGTGGTAGCTCCCAGAATCCATACATGAGCTCACGAGTAGCAGCAGCCGCAGCAGCAGCAGCAGCAGCATCCGCTGGAACTGGAGTCCCCCACGCAGCAGGAGCAGAAGTAGCAGCAACACTGTCGGGTGGCATATCTGAAGGTAGAGGGGCGGCGGCGACGTCGGCGGCGGCGGGGGCGCCTAGGATTATTTCATCATGTTGTAATTCTGGTCAATTTTCTAGACTTCACGACAGACGGTTACAGCTGGTGCCGGATCTTCAGCCGATGACCTACGTGGCGTGGGCGCCGGTGACCCTTGCGGCGTGGGCGCCTCGTAGTCGGCATCCAGTAGATACGCGGAGGAAGACCCCATAGACGAAGATGAAGAGTGCGTCGACGGAGAAGAAGCGCCGGAAGAAGAGGCAAAGGAGGGAGATCGGGAGCGATGGATGAATGTCGAGTTACAAACTGCCATCGTGAAACAAGCGAGGACGGTCTTGGACACTCTCCCCAAGATCGCCGGCAACGGCACGCTGACTCCACCACAGTGGATGAAGGAGCGGCATCTGCCGCCCAAGTATGTAGCGGCAGCGTTTAATCGACGTTTCCCTGACGCCCCGATATGCCGGCCCGCCGACAGCCTGGAGAAGCGCGCCGCTGCGGCGATGAAAGCGGCGAAAGTAACACCAGCGATGAGTACCCGGGTCGAGAACGGAGAGATCATTGATGTGCTTTTGAAGGAGTCGGTCATGGCCGTTTTCGCGACGACACAAGTTGTGTTCGCTCTCTACGTGCACGAGGTGGTCTTCTTGGAAGAATTGGTCGGCATTCCAGCTATCCAGGCAAGTGCATGAATGAGCGAAGGAGCCGATGACGGTACCCGACCCTTTTGGCCTTTGTAAGATGTTGCGCGTGCGTGCCGAAGGTGCGTGCTGAAAGATGAAAAACAAACACAACAAGTCGTCGCACATTCAAATTGTTGTTGTGACTAGTGTTCTGTTGATAATAGTGCATTTTGGTTGTCACGGATTACAGTGTTGGCACGCTCATGATCTATCAGCTCATGCCAATGTCGACGTTGTTGGTCGGTATGCCCCCCTCCCTTCCGCTGCGGCAAGCCCACAACTCTTGTTTGAAGTTTGCATGACGGGAACCTTCAGAAGTTCTGACAGAAAGCGCCGAACTCTGTTTTGTGGGTGGGAAGTTTTGCTCTTGATGAGACCTGCCGCCGCCGCACTCAAGAGTCTCTGTCAGTGATTAGCCCTCTCACCTCACACAAGGGACACCGCCTGAACAGAAACGAGCATCGGAACAAGGCCTGACGTAAAGAACCCTCCCCCCCTGTGTTGATTTCTTTTCAGATGACAACCCCCGGCGGGGCGAAGGGAGTCAGGATGATCGGTCCAGGATGCAAATCGAATTCGGAAGTGAAACCTCCTGGAGTATCAGGGCATGACTTCCCAAATGCGGGTGCTCAAAAGGCAATCAGAACGTTTGCGGTATGAACTTGTTTTTCGACTTGATTTCCTGTTTGTTTTGGTTCGCTGTTGGTTGTTGTCTCTGTTGCTTGTGAGCCGTCCGTTTATCTCGGTAGTCCCGGAAGAGTAATATGTTGTAAGAACATGCGCGCTTAGTCTTTCCGCCCTTCTCATTTCCGACACGTTCTGAATGCAGTCTTTCTCCGTATTCTTCTCTTTGAAATTTGCCGTCTTTTTACGGCAGATACGCGCGGTACCCGACGTTGGCAGGGTGGTGGTTCCGTTGGCGGGCAGGTATTTCTGCACGGCCTCAGGGTGCCCTCTCGTCTTGGAAAGTGCCAAGAAGGCGGCCAACAAAAAAAAAGTGGTTGTTGCGGATGACGGGTGGGACGAGGCCACCATCCGCGAGCATTGCCCAAACGGCGGTTCCTTTACCACAATGGACGACAGGTACGGTGATGATTTTATTTAAGCGTGTAGTTTTTAGCTTCAATCTTGGCATCGCATTGCAGTGCGAAAATTACACGCACAAGGATCGCCAATGCTTACATGTTCTCGCTCGGTCACTTGACCACTGAAATTGGGCAGGTACATGCAGTTGCCACCTGGGGAGATTGTCTCGCGATTGCCTTTTCGCTACTTTAGGCAAAATGGCACGTCAGAGACTCTATCTACTGGACCAAGTGAGGGCGACGGAGGGCGATCTGCAGGTGCAACCCTAAGCTGAAAGCGGTACCGTTTCTGTTTCGATCGTGGTGTGTTTGGGCAGGTGGGTTGCACTCTGATTGTCCTCCTTGATTTTCGCTGTGATAAGAGTGGC